GCAAAATATCCAAATCACATTGGGCTTAAACAAGCTGTGAGCTCTGTTACTTGATTATAAAAAAAAACCCAGGATCCAGGGACTGAGCAATTCTCAAATGAGAAAGCTTGGAAGATGATCAGCAAGCTCTTCTTCAAGTAGAGGTGGTGTGAAATGGACCACATGAATCTCCTCAAGTGTTGGGATACATGTGTTTTCACTTCTAATACTGAACCGCTTACAATTGGAACCCTTTTTTTTTTTTTTTTTTTGAAAAGCAAAAGCTGAGAGAAAACCACACAAGCATAAAAAATACGTTTTATGTCATTCTGTGAAGGGTGTGCCAACAATTCTTAAGCAATTGTCCCACTTTGCCTTTAGGGTGAAGGTCTGTGCTGGATTTTTCCATCCTTTATCCCTTTTTTTTATTTTCCCCAGTGACAAAAATCAGCATCTGTGGGCAATTTAAGGGTTGCAACGCGAAGAAAAGTCTTGCAGCACATCCATCACACTGGAGCAGTGGCAATCTGTAGAAAGAGGAAACTAGAGCTGGGGCTCCAGTCATGTGTGTAGACCTTACATGTCTTGCCAGATCATTCTTCGCGTTGCTATTGGACTCCGGGTCAAAAAAAAAGTTTTACCTTCAGTCAATTTCACTTTTCATTTGCGACAAACATGAGCTAATTATGAACCGAGTGTTGGCATATGGACCCGTCGATGTCTGGAAGAAAAAAACAAACAAAAAAACGATAACAGGAAGACACTGGAATGGGTTGTTCTAACACCCAAAGCATGTTTTTCCTCTGCCTAACGTGACAGAGAGTATCCAAGGTTACCCCACTGGATCCCTATTTATTTGATATATTAAAACCAGATTTTAAAAACGTAACTGCATTAAATTAATTTTGTATATGTTGTGAACCATTCGGCTGAAATAAGATCCTTAAAAATATGTAACATTACGAAAGTGGGTTTTATTGTCACCCCATCCATGTATATGTACAGTTTTCTGTATAATGGAACAAAGTGATGTTCTTCCAGGATTATGATGCAGATAAAACAGGATGTACAAGCTACACAGTGCAATAAGACATGGCAAGTGCAACAGTACAATACATACACACCATATACTGTAAGTATAAATAAATTACTCAAAAGAAGCAAGAGAAGTGGACCAAGTAAGTAGTAGAATATAAAAATAAATATGAAGCAGCATATCTAGATATATGTAAACATGTGTCATACTTTTAGGACCATCACAAGTAGTATAAAAATATATTTGAAGGACAATATCTATAGATATTTATAAATGTGCTTTACATACAGTAGGTGTAGGAGCGTTACAGGTAGTGGGTATAACAGCAAATACGAATCAGAATATCTAAAAATATATGTGAACTGTGAACATGTTATAGGTAATGGAACACAAAAAATAAATATTTTGCAGCAAGATTCTAGATATGTGTAAACATGGTTTATAGTAGAGTGGTGAGCACAAATGGATGGGGGGGGGGCTGGGTTCAAGTTACGCTTATTAAGTTAGGACAGGAGGTGGGGGGGCAGCAGGGTGTTGAGGAGCTTGATGATCTGGCGGGAGAGGCTGTTGTAGAGTCTGCTGAAACTGGCCAGGATACTATGGTATGCTGCAGCAAGATGTCAGTGAACACAGGACATTGAAATTTATCATCAGTTGTTCATTTAACTAGTACTTGACACACAGCCAAACACCTGAACACATTATAGGTAGTGCAACATTGCATTGTACTTGCTAAGTCTGCAATTACAGTGATTGAATAAAAAAAAATGCAAGTAGAGACAAATAAAGTTTAGCATTTTACATAAATCTTACAGAAATCTGGTTTCGCTGGCAGGTTAATGTGTACAGTGCATGCTTCTCCAGCACAGGGTCACAGCGACCCGAGCAGGTGTATTTTCCTGGCAGCACTAGCTGAAGGGCAGGGAACATCATGCGTGGGATGCTAAAGTATGTGGTTTCATTTAAAAAATCCTAAATAGCATCAAATGTTTCATTTTTAATTTAATTTCCCAGTCATGCTAACTTACCTCACTATATCTGATTGTCAGCTGTATAGGAGCTGTTTTACATTTTTATTTATTTACCAGGTACTTTAATCCAAAGTACCATAGAATTGAGAAAGCGGGGGTCAGACAGTCCCTGGACCAGTAATGGGCTTCGCTCAAGAGCCCAGCGGTGAAATGGCACCTCAGACCTTCTGATCACGCCAGTAACCCACAGAGCCACACACTGAAACCCAACTTGTTGACATCGGGAGAGGTGCGGCACCCTAGTGTGCAGCTTGTGGGTTTATAAATTGTCCTTAGGGTGTGACTAACTCTGCAACAGAACACATGTAGCTAATCTATCCTGGGAATATTTCACCTTGTCATACACTTCGCTTTATACACCATGGATCACAATGGCCCTATGTGGAGGAGGATGAATAGATGTGTGGATGAATGGATTGATGGATAATATCTGTCTATCTTATTACATTTATTTTCCTTTAAGGTCAGTAATTATTCACTGAGGTCAAAGTTGTGACCAAGTCATTTTCTTTATCTTGCAGCATCAGACACATTGTTTGTTACATATTTCCTTGTTGTCACACCACAGAATAATGAAACAAAGGTCAGGACCACATCATATGACCTGTTATTTTGAACCTGGCATTTTAAAATGACTTCCTACAAAGCACAATATGCAAAGTCTCCATACCATAGCTCACGATGCACGTCTCATGAAAGGAGTGTTTTTTTTTCCCCAAGATAAGACAAATGAACACAGCTTGAGACAAATCACAAGACTCCTCATGCCTCCTTCTCACCTAATTATTTATGCTAATTGAGTCATTATTTCAGAAGGAGCCGAGTTCAGGCAATGAGCGTTTTGCAGGGGTGTATGTCGCTAGAATGATGTAGACCATCCATCTTCTGCCGGATCATGCCACTCCTATGGAATTTAGTTTATCATCCGCCTGGATCTTTCTACCTCTCAACTCAGCAGCTGGACTTTCCCTTAAAGTTACTGTGACACGGTGGGCAGCTGCAAGAGATACGGCCACCTGCTGGCTGCAAGCTGACCCACTTGAGTGTGGGCTCATTAAATACCCACACATAGGTTCCACCAATTAGGGTGGATTTTAAGAGGCACTCTGGAGTGCTGAGTGGGAAGAGGAGAACGGAGATTGCTGCTGATGAGGTGGTTTTTTTTGGGGGGGGGGGTTTGCCTCTTCCTCTGCCTGAATTCAAGGTGGCCTTTGTTCTTTGACTGGAAGGTATGTCGTTTCCTGACAGAAGCGCTACGTTTGTTAAGTTGTTTTTGTTTGTTTCAAGAATGGAGAATAAAGTCTTTACTTTGGCCTGTTTAGCTGTCTCCCACACACAAGGAAGAAAATGGGGCCTCACGCTATTGTCTGTTATCTTACAGAATTGCTTTGCATGTGTGTGTGTGATCAGCTGAAGTCCAATTAGACATTGTTTTGAAGTGCAAGGTGTTGCATTGTTGTTTGCTGAAATCCGAAGAACATTTTTGCAACTTATCGATCTTATCTAGATAAATTTGCACAGCCATTATGGAATCCGATAGAAGATACAATGCATGCAGGCAACAACAAAACGGATAAGTTTAAAGAAGCATACTTTAAGTGGTTGAAGAAATTGTTACAGCAGATATATATAATTTTTCAAGCAATAATAATTTTCTCCCAACATATTTCTTTATTAAAGGAGATGTTCCAAGAAAGAAAAATCAAAAGAAGGCAGCTTTTGTCTGATTTGCATTATTTTGCTGCATCGAATTTATTTATACTGTTATGTTATTATATTTAAGACCCTTATGTGGTTCAGATTAAGACACAAACAACGCTTTTGCCTTCAGATGTTCTTGTACTACATTTTACAAGCTGAAAAACACATGTGGCTGTGGTTTCCCCATTTATTCTTTGAGAAACGTTTTGATATTGTTTTACAGTAGATGATGCCCATCCCCAATGGAAGCATGAGGCTATGGGAAAAAAAATCACTTCTGATATATGATGAGATTTGTCACTGCCATTAGATTGAATCAAAGTCCCACTGGTGAATACAATGAAAGGAATTAGCATCTGCTATTGCCTTTGCACAGGAAACCCGAAGCCTGCTCTACTCAGTGCTGTGTACTGTAATATCAGACATTACCTAAACAGACGCAGGAATGAAAAAATATATAACAGCATAAAGAAAAGCTTATAGATTTATATTCTACTACAGAAATCCACATTTAAAAAACAAATAAATTTCAGATGATATTTGTTTTGTATCATTTTAGAGAGAGGCCAGCAGACATACTTTTCTCTTTTTATGATTTTGATATTGAACATGCCTCAGAATTTTCCACAAACTTTATTGGAAGCAAGGCTGTATTTTACAGAATAAATATGAATGCTTTCACTTAATCTTCAGATTTATGATGAATTCATATAGGAAGGTCAGAATAATTTAGCTTCTGAAGCATCAGCGTGTATCACACTAATCCAAATGTGGTCTCTGTGCATATATGTGCCCACTGAGGCCTTTCTGTCTTCAGGCATAGGATTATTACCGAATTTTGAAATTAATATTTAAAACTCGGGTAGAAAGTGCCAAAGCTGGACTGAGATTCACTGAAGAATCCTCACTTAGCACGTTAATTCTTACCTGTGAAGAGACTCAAGCCGGGATGGAAGATTCACAGTTATCTGTATGTTGTTAAGGACCAGGTGAGGAAATAAAGGTTTGAAACAAAATTACGGGAATGCATGGCATCTGGCGGTACAACTCCCACACTCCTAAAGAGTGGGTTTAATCTGATAGAAATACCGGGAAAGAAAAAAAAATGTTGTGTATTGTAACCTGGATGTTCTTTTTCTATTTAGAAAGACAGGTTCATTTATTTCCCACTGGATTCCATTCAAGTGCCAGCAGGAAGGAACAACAAGCAGTTAAGTATTTCCTTTTCTTTGACCAATGACATGTCTTTGCAGCGCTCCGACAGGGAACGGAGCAGAGAGAGGATCCCTTCCCCTGGCCCGCAACTCTGTCTGACAGCACTGGCCAGTAGACGAGTCCCCGGCTTGTCAACAGCAGTGCTTGAGCACACTGCATATACGGCGGCTGGCAGTCTCCAGAACATGAGCGTCTCCGCTGAAAAATAAGGAAAACAACTGTCTGACAAACTTTCATGTGCTTTGTTTCCTGCATTATGACTGTATGTAATGATGATCAAAATCCGCTGTATTTTTTATACACCATAATCTATGGGAGTGTTTATAACAGGTGTGAATTACTGATGGATTCAAAATCAACTAAAAGGAAAGCTCAGCAAATTTGTTTCATTTGAAGGTTCTCTCACATCTGAAGTAGACCTGTTGTATATTTTGGCTTTGGAATAACTTGAGTACATAAGGAAATCTAGCACAATCTGTTAGTCTTTCATACAATAAAGCATATTTTCTAAGCTAAGTCTCATCTGCGGAAGTAAATATGTAAATAAGGGCAGACCAGCTAACTGGGAATCTCCATAAAGTGTTACAGAAACAAACAAACAAATAAACAAACAAACATGACAGAGGCAGGCATTTGTAGCTGGTACTTCTGGTAAAATCTAATTAGCTTCCTTTTATGGAATATTCAAAGAAACAATGGCTGCTAGTTTCTGAAGCAATAGCGCTGTGATCAAAGGACTTTGAACGCGGCAGGGGAGGGAAAGATTTTTCTTTTCAGTGAGAAAAAGGTACTGGGAACACCTGGGGGGCCGGGGCCTGGGGGGCGGGGCCTGGGGGGCGGGGCTGTGTTAGGGACCCATTCACCAGAAGCCCCGCAGAAGTGTCGGAGTTTGACCCTCCGTGTCACGACAAGCGTCCTGCTGTGGCAGAAGAGGGCCTGACAGGCTGCTTCTGAAGTCTGCTTTCGTGTGAGGTGGTCCCAGGTTGTGTGTAGATGGACCGACAAGAGGACTATCGCTTGCAGCCCATTACTCTCAGAGACTTCATTCTGAAACTAGGAAATGTGATCCTACTATCTAAAATGTGATTTAGCTCATTTAATGAGTCAAATTTTGCAGTGTTAAGAGAACACTTGTTTTGTGGACAAAACACAAAGAAAGATTTGTTACAATCTACTTTTTGCATTTCCAGTCCAAGACAATGTACTGTACAGTATATAAAACCGAAGCTTCACCAATTTCAAGTGTTTTTGAAAGAAACATTAATGAATGAGCTAAGACGTCACTGCTAATGAGACATTGATGTTGTTAATGGGCAGACTGCATTTTCAGTAGTTTTTCAGATCAAAGAAGATGCGCTCTGGAATAATGATTGTGATAATGTCGCAGATAATGGTTTTAATGAAAATATGCAAGGTGTTTTGCCCGTTGAAAGTTCTGCCTGTTATATTACTTTCCTCCAACTGTAGTCTTTCAAGGTTCTTCAAAGTATGCTCGATGTTTTTAGTAATTAATACTCTTTAAAATATTTCAAATTGAAATTTCAACAACACTCTATCAATAATTGCATATCACTCTACATATTAAGGTTGATTAAAAAACTGCTATTATTTTTAAACCGTACACCAGCAACAAATTCAAATTTTTATACACATTTTTTACATTTTTACATTGATTTAGACTTCAGTAAAGGAACCAATGTGAAAATATTTTAGCTAGATTGCTAAAACTTATGCCCCTCTTGGGAAGGGGAGCCAGCAGAGTGGCGACACAGAAATCACCTGTTACTTGTTAATTTACTCTGGTATGTATTAAAGAATGTTACACTTATATAGCACTTTTTAAGACACCCAAAGCACTTATATAGTGAGGTGTTCTGTACTTTCTCACCTCATGCAGATCTGTCCAGGCTACAGTCACATTCTTCCCAGATTCATATGCCTGAATTTTATCATTATTTTGATTACTCATCGAAACAGCTGTTTTTGTTTTTCATCTTTCCGGTGTTGCTGTATTGATCCTGCAGCTGCCTGACCCCACATTTCAGGAAAGAGAAAACCCCTCTTTGATAAACACCCCTCTGTTTACCTCATTCTAAAAGTTAGCCAACCTAGTTGGAGTGGTTCTCATTTATCTTACTTACTTTATCGAAATGTATCATCATGCAGTCATCTAAGAAAAGCACAAATCTTGAAATAGCTGTACAAATTAGTAAAACAACAGTAAACAGAAAAAAAACAGGTGGAAAGTATTCTAAAATATCTACAGATGAAAACTTTAAAAGTGAGTTTAAGTTTCCATATAATGAGTGGAATAATATAAACATTGATAAATTATTATGAGTAAAGAGCTCTCTCTGCTGGTTTAAACCGTCAGAAAAATACGGAAATAAAAAAATCAGAAAAAAGGAAATTAAAAAATATGCCAATAAACCATTGACCTGTTCAGTAACTCACCGATACAGTCTGACCACTGACAAATAGCATAATACCATAAGGATTAACAATCATATCAACGTGGCTGACAGCTGTGCCTGAAATATCCTATAGGCCAAAGATAATTTCCTGTAAAAAATCTCCTGAGATACTTCCTGTGGCCTAAAGGACCTTTATGCAACAAAATGATTATATTTCAACAAGATCGAGTTTGACAGTGCACTTGCATTGAGTCTGGTGTGATGAGGGTGCATGATGAGGTCTTCATAACTACAAGTTCTGTTGACTTGTGCGGCAGCGCAGGAACAGATAAATGTCTCGTTGCCACCTGATACAGCCTGGGGAAGTGTTTCACATGGTTCCTCAAGAAATCCAGGCAGCCCGCTTTGTCGCAGTCAGAGGCTTAGATGCATGAATGAGCCCTGGTTCGATGCATGAATGAGCACTGCTTTGACAGATGAGTTGGCATCTCCTCTCCTCTTCTCTCCTCTTGTTGCTTTTGTTCCCGTAGCCCAAGAAGAGTCAGAGAGCTTTGACATGTGGTTCCTGTCCTCCACTCCTGCTCCCAGGTACAGTGGCTTTCTGTGCCTCAACGAAGAAAAGTCTTGAAAATGTTTCTAAAAAAGTCATGGTTATTTCCAGTATTACTACGACAGATATACACTACTCACATTGTGGGTTATGACGGTAAAGTTCATGAATAATTGATATCTAGCTATAAATTGTAGGAAGGTAGATAATATGTAGTAATGTGCTTGGAAAATGGTGTGTAGTTATTACATCTACCTATCAGACTGTCTTTCGCCTCACTCTGATTTTTGCCTGCTGTGATGTTTAAGCCAAAGCTAAGAAAAAGATGGGTTCAAAACAGTGCGGCCATCATGTAGATGAAAGGTCTGCTGCCTCTGCAATGGAGTCCTCAATTCTCATATATGAAAGAGGTACCTGAGTCGCTTCTGAAGAGCTTTTACTGGACTAACCAGGGAAGCAGTTGTACCTGGCGGATTTTGGAGGAGATTGTTCACAGGAGAGTGCTGCGCCGTGAGCTCTCACCACATTCTCTCCTTTAGTATGGCCTGAACGCTACAGAAACAGGCCAAAATCATCATATGCTTGACCAGCTGGATCCATTTCCTTGGCGGTAACCACAGTCCTTGGGGGAGAATCGAGGCCTGTGAGGGTCCAGCTTTCACAAGCTAGAGAGTCAAATTCCATTGTGTTGATACAGCACAAGAGATACTGAAATTACCTTCAATTTTCTCACATGTAAGAGAGGGGGCAGAAAGGCCATAGTCTTTGAATAAATCTCATTGTGAAAAAAATGCATGTAAACATGGCGTACACATTTTTTTTTAACGATTTATCAAACCTGATGTACACACATATGTATGTGATAGGTCCTTGATTAATCGGAACTATCATGCAAATGTGCGTATGTGCACATGCCTGAGATCCTGCCCAGTTGCCAGCCACAAATGACCTTAAAAGCTCAATGCAGATGAACTGAATGCTCATATAATACGCACACCAAGCCATTCTGGTACCAAAGTCCGACGACGGTGATGGTACAGTAAATAAAAAAACGAAAAACAAGAGGTATTTCGAACAGCGCAAGGTAGAGACACGACAAAATATTATCCTAAACGCATTTATCACAAACAAGGAAATGTATAGATGTACATTTTCTAACTATTTATCACACACTGTTATATTGTACAGCTGTTTCTAGCACTTTTGCAGTATTTTGCACTTTTAGATTAGATGCAAAGCTACATTTTGCTGTTTGAGTACTTGTACGTTGTGCAGTGATAATAAAGTTAAATCTAAAAAGTGTGTTGAATGGCAACACATCACCGCTGCAGTAAATTCTGTCAGCTCTGCACAATGCAATTTTTAAATAAGCAGTTGAATATGAAGATAAAGGGAAACAACTTGCGGCACATAGGACCAGTGTGACTGTAACTGTCGGGGAAAACCCACATCTTCAACCTCAGACTTCGACATGCTTTTGGCATCTATAATAGGGGACGCCCTGTTATGTCGTGTTGTGCCAGAGCACTCAGGAGATACTAATGTCGTACGTGAGACTCAAAATTATCCTGAATTCACCCAGACCATTGAGCTACCGCATCTGTCAATGTCGGGTCGGCATCACAGAAGACTTGCACATTAATAGAATGAAATGGCTTTGCATTGACAAAAGTATCTTCATTAGCCTTTATTGCATTACCTGCATCTACCGCGGTATGCTGTGCTGTCATGCATTTGATTTGCCCTTATTGCAATGTATGTGTAGTCGATTGTCCCGATTACATTAAGAAAACTGGACATCGTTGCAAATTTAGTTTTGACGTTTGCCTGATGGCCCACAGCATAGGGAAATGTGATGTAGCGCCTTGCCAGTTTTGTCATGCCATCGAGCACGGAAGGCATGAAGGAGCTGAGGTTTGAGTGGGATGTTCCTGATCTGCGTGCCAGTTCCCTATGGTAGGTACCTAATGCCAAAAAACAATCTCTAGTCAGAACCAGGGTCACCATTAGAGATTCCACATTTTTTAGGGCCCCTGTCAATTTCATACACACATTTCAGGTTTATTTTTGCGCAGACACACCTTTGATAAGTGAGGCCCGTGGTGTTTTTCCTTGGCAATATCTTGAGAAATCTCCTACTTTGGCATCATGTTACCATTGATGTCATCCTTATGTTTGACATTCTTGGTTAAGATTCTCTCAAAGAAGAAGAATTTAGCAATCTTTGGCAATTATTTACTTGTGTCTATTTTTTTCATTTCAGATTTAATTAGATATCTGTTATGAATATGCAAAGCACTATTACCAGAAGTTGCTCTGAACGGAGTCTCCAACATCACCATAAGGAGAACTCCTCAGATTATTTGTGGTTATTCTATGCACACTCTCTGTCGTGGCCACCATGAGGAAACTAACTATGAAATCCTCTATCATGTTTGATGCATTATTGCAAATAATATAATTAATGTATTCTCTTAAATTTGTCACACATCCGTCCTCAGTAAATCATGCAAAATTACGA